GCGCCGTGATCAGCTGGGCCACATGTTCACCAGGATTTAATGTCAAACATTATTGTCTTATTAGGTTCAATTAGGGTGAAAATGAATGCTAATGAGATGGAAAATGGAGAGGGAAGCGGGGCTTATCACCGCGGTTTATGACAAACCAGGGTCGGGTCGAGTGAGGCGCCGGAGAACTCTAATTGGCTGCAGCACCGAGAGGGGGAGGGGGGGGTTGTTTACACAGGTACAGTGATGACCCCGCTCTAATGCAGGTCGCTGCAACGGTCCGTGCTCCGACGCGGGTGTGTGCGTGCTTATCTTAAAGATGCTGAAATCTGAGAAACGTTTGCAGATTGAAATATCCTCAGTGCCTTTGTCACAAAAAAAAGTCCTAAAATATCAGCCATCTTTCCAGAAATAGACGGATTCTGGGCTTATTTATCAAAGGAGCTAACAGCACAGACTATGAAATCACTTTCAAAGAAGGGAGATGAAAGGCTCTTGGCTTTTGCCTCCTTTTGTACTTTGAGTCTCAGCCTGTGCCTCGCAGTAGAAAGTGCCATCCTCTCTTGTGATGTCCTTTGACAGCAAATCTGAAAGAGACCATACTCTCTTCCCTATATTCTGTCAGTCAGGCTACAGTAGACGGTGACAAAGCCAAGGCTTTTCTAAAAAAACATAAAAAAATAAATAAAACTAGAGCCATCTCAGCCCCAGCTGTGAATTGACAGCTGTTTTAAAATTTAGATTTTTTTTTTCTCTTTAATATCTCAGCTTTTATAAAAAAAACAGTAACTTGGCTGAAGGGTCCCTTCAAAGCAGTTTTGTTTGGTTGTCAAGGTGGATAAATAAAGTAAAAATGAAAAACATTTTCACCTGCGCTCACCTGTTTTTGACAGAGTGGACTTCAGACGCTGACATTTCCTGACGTCGATCGCTTTTCATGGATATTTCTCTGACGGAGGCGTCAGACTGCAAGAATATAAAAATATATCTGTAAAAAACTGGTGGTTCGCAACGGCAGCTCGCACTGATGTGACTACATTTGTTTATTTTTGTGTCGGTCACATGACCTGTGTACATTTGGAACATTAGGGACAGTCATTTATTTGCATATTATTAGCCTTAAAACAGTAGAGCTGTGAATGAAACACATTAGATACATTAGTTAGACTGTCGTGGACCGGTGTGGATGGCTCGGCGGTTACACATTAGATACATTAGTTAGACTGCCGTGGACCGGTGTGGATGGCTCGGCGGGCCAGATTTGGCCCACGGGCCGCCAGTTGATGCTCACTGATAGATTTTTTCCGATGTTGTTGAAATGCAGATTTTCACCAGACATTTCCTGCAGAAGGAAGTTTCATCCTTTTACGGAAGTTGTCCTGAACTTTTTTTTTGTATAGCGCCCCTCTTTGGTAGATGGAGATATTGTTGAAATTGTGTCCAACATCACATACAGCAGATGACTCAGAAACATACTGTACATACGTGGTGGTATTGTGGCCACCTGTTAAGGCACCATTTTCTCAGAGCCTCCCACTGTCTCTTGTCATTTGCGGCCGTCGTTCCTCCGTGGCGTCGTTCCTCCGTGGCGTCGTACCCTCAGCCAGGTTCAGCCTGCTGTTGAAATCTTACTCCTGTTTTCTGCTTGGTTGGACTGTAATTTCTCAGGCTGTGAAGAGCAGGACACGCTGCCCTGCACACAGGAAAACTGGCCTGATGTGCACTCAGTGGCTGTGTGAGGGCTGGAGATAAAGGACACACACACACACACACACACACACAGAATGACTGCACAGCAACAACAGCACCACTTGTGTGTGGAAATAACCTTTTGCAGGCACAACAGCCACA